GCTGGTGGCAGGAAAGAGAGAGAAACTGCAGATATGGAGGGAGTGGGGCTGGCAAACCCCTGCTGACTTAAAGATGGAAGGGCCACTGAAGGAGCACAGCACAGCCCAGACCGAGGACTTTTGTTCTACAGCTAAGTACTGGTTGGCTAATGGTTTCCAAAATGGCAAGTCCAAATCCTAACCACCACCCCCCACCTGTGAGTGTGACCTTATCTGAGGATAGGGTCTTTGTGGATGTAGTTAAGGACCTCGACATAAGACCATCCTGAATTTGGGAGGCCTTAAAAATAACGGCAGATGTCCTTGTAAGAGAAAGGCACAGGCAAACCTGCGCAGACACAAGGAGGAGGCCAAGTGAGGACAGAGGCAGAGCCTGGAGGGCCATTGCCATAACCCAGGGCTGGGGCGGTCACCAGAGGCAAGGAGAAGCCTGGGCTCTACATTAGAGTCTCTGAAGGAACCAGTGCTGCTGACGCTTGGATTTCAAATGTCAGCCCTCGGAATCAGGAAGAGTAAATCTCTGCAGTTTTAACCCAGCCACTTCGCGGTCATTTGTTATAGCAGCCCTGAGAAACTAATACGAACTGGGAGAAACCATTCTGCCCACAACAGGCAGGAGCTGGGAAGCACATTTCTCCCAGAGTCTGCAGACAGGGGCTCGTCCCCGCAGAGAGGCACCTGATTTCAGCAGCATGAGTTCCTGGGCAAACAGCCAAAGTCACACTGGAGGCCTGCGGGCTTCTCACCTACAGAGCAAGACCTAGTAAACAGATGCTCATTTAAGCCACTGGGTATATTAACATTAGTGAATGCTCGTAAGTCAGATTTAAAATTTGGGGGCTGAGCATCCTTCTCTTGCTCTTGGCATTGATGGAAATGCCCTTGAGTAGTATTTCAAAATTCTAATCAAAGGAACACTGGAAGTTCTGGGAGACACTGACAGGCCATGGGAAAGAGTACCCTAACCTCATATAATCTGAAGAAACCCTGAGCTCCAGGAGTTTAGATGAGGGAACTGTGAAACCCCAAAGCAAAGGAACAGTGAGCGCGCAGAATGGGCCGGGAGGGGCCTGCGTTCTGTGGCAGGTTTATGAGCATCGAGTGGGCTCGCAGTGTTTTATTGAATTCATATTTAAGTAAACACGTTTACTTGCACGACTTACAAATTTCTTCAGTTAAAAAATGATTAATTTCTGAAATATCTGGCTCCACCCAACAGCACATTCCATAAAGGCTGGGGCTGAGCCCATCTTGGCCGTTATTATATTACCATGAACGAGAAATACGCCAGTGGCATAAGACACAGTCAGCGTCAGTGAGCAAATGGGCCAATGAAGGGAGCAAATATTCTCTTCCAAGCTTCCTTCCTGTGGCTCTCACTCGCAGATTTCCGCCGGTAAGAAGAGGGTCTGCTTACTGCCCACCACTCCGCCTCCTCCACACCCGGGTCTTCCCCATTCCTGCCCGGGGTGCCCTCTCTTCTTCTCCCCAGTCACACCCAGGTTTCAAAGTCTAACCCCAATACCGTCCCCCTGTAAGTGACATCATCCTCTGCACACAGAGGGCACTAACCAAATACCTGTCACTGAAGTTCACCTCTTTAGAAAGTGAAGCATGTACAGAGAAACAGTAATGGGCCTTTGATATTAATTCATCACTTACAGAGTTGGTCATTGGTGGTATGTACAACAGATGTGGTAATGCTGAATTTTACGTGTCCACCTGACTGGGTCTCAGGATACCCAGTCCTTTGCTCATACACTGTTCTGGGTGTGTCTACGAGGGTGATTCCCGATGAGGTCACCGTTCGAGTTAATGGACCAAGGAAAGCAGATTGCTCTCCCTGATGTGGGCGGTCTTCATCAATGACGCTGAAGACGGAAATAGAACAGAAAGGCTGAGTGAGAGGGAGCTCCGCCTGCTCCGACTGCCTGCGGCCGGGACATTGCTCTTTTGCTGCCTTGGGACAGGAATGGAAACGTCAGCCTTTCTGGGGGGCCCAGCCCGCCAGCTTTCCCACCAATACTTAATCCCATCAGCTCTCCCACACCTCCAGCCTGCCAACTGCAGATCTTAGGTTCTCAGCCTCCAGAGACACGTGAGCCAAGTCCTTCTCTCCATAAGTCTCTTTCTCTCTCTCTCTATATATATACACATACATCCTATTTGTTCTGTCTCTCTGACAACCATAACTAACATCTACTTTAACAAGATATTTATATTCTTACGACTGAGTTTTCATTCCTATCACACAACAGCTCTGATGAGCACCTGGGACACAGGTATTACATGGGATTTAACAAGATTAAATTATTATCCTTCCTTCAAATTTCACCAGAGCTACTGGAAAAGACATCCACTAGTTTCCCAGGATCAGTGCCTGGGAGCCTTTGGCCAAGAAGAAAGAGCATTTCTGAGAACAAAGCCACGCAGAGGGAGGCAGAGCAGAGAGGTGGTGAGAGAGACCCAAGCCCACGGTTCCACAGAATAAACCCCAACCCGAGTCCAGGTCTGTCCGAGGCCAGCACAAGTCCTGGACTTCTCGGCTGTGTGAGTAAACAATTATTTTCCAAGTCAGCGCTGAGTCTTACTATTTGCAAATAAAATACTCTTTTAACCTGTACAGTGCGACCCTTTCATGTAAAAACTGGGGAGCCATGAAAACATGGTTCCTTTGGCTTTATCCACAGTGTTAAGGTTGAAAGAGGATTAAAACATGAACAAAATGCAAAGCGCAGACACTGGCGTGGCTACAGAGGTCCCCTCATCTGCAGTTTTGCTCTCCGCAGTTTCAGTTACCTGTGGTCAACCACAGCCTGCAAATGCAAAGTGAAAAACTCCGGAAAGAGCACGTGAGTTTTAATTTGTGTGCCGTCCGAGTAGCATAATGAAATCTTGTACTGCCCTGCTCTGTCCTGCCCGAGACAGGAGCCCCCTTTGTCCACACAATCCACTCTGTATCCTCTGCCCACCCGCTAGTCACTTAGTAGCCGCCTCTGGTACCAGGATGACTGTCTCGATCTCACAGAGCTTGTGTTCAAGGCAGCCTTCTTTTACTAATAACGGCCCCGAAGCACAAGAGTAGTGATGCTGGCAATTCAGACATGCAAAAACAGAGACATAAAGTGCTTCCTTTAAGTATAAAGAAGTGCGAGTTCTCAACTTAATAAGGAAAGACAAAAAAATCCTTCACTCTGGCTGCTGAGATCTATGGCAAGAACACATCTTCTGTCCATGGAATTGGAAAGAAGGAAAAAACTCCATGCTCGGTTTTGCTGTCTCGTATTGAATTGCGGAAGTTCCAGCCACAGTGCACAGTAAGTGCTTAGTTAAGACAGAAAAGGTGCGGCATTTGGGGGTGGAAGACAGGAAGAAGAAATGTGTCCCAACTGATCGCAACATGTTGCCCTGGAAAGTATCAAGCCTGTATCAGCAAGAGGTCCCCTGCAATGAATGACACTCCATAAGTAAGTTACATGACACTTGCTGAGCCCCTACCACATGTGCCAGACAAGCACCGTCAGTGTTATGCATTTAACCGCCACCTCACTTCTGTGGAGTGCATGCTATGTTACCGTTAAAATCTTCACTTTAAAGGGCAATGGGAGAGATTAGAATAATGGAGCTAATAATAATAGGAGGAGTGCTAAACATCTGTCAAAACTATACTATGTCCCACATACTGTACTAAATGTTTTACGAGAAGTGTCCCATTTAATCATCCCAATTAGCTTCAAAGTTAGGTAGGAGTAACCCCATTTTACACACTCTCCCAAACCTGGGTGAACTTCAGGCAGCAAGACATTTGACTGCAAATTCACATGTGTATCAACAGCTATTACTAAACTGTGAAGTCCTGTTGGAGGAAACCCTGTCCCTTCGGTGTGGGGACATCTCGGGTACTGAAAGAAGCTTCTCTAAAAGCTGTTGGATGGGAGATATGTAACATGCACCTTTCAAAAATCACATTTTACATGAAACCCCATTTTTAGGCATGTTATTGTCAGAAAGAAGCATATGATTACATATAGTTTAGAAGTGTCCAACGGCACCAACAGCATGAATTAATCCCATGACACGAGGTACAAAGTCATATTCGCCCACATAAGCACAAAGCACGCACACACAGTCATACACAGTCACCCGCCCTTCCACGATGAGGATCTACTCTGAGGAACACATCGATTGGTAGGAGATTTCATCACTGTGTGAGCTTCACAGAGCGCACCTACACAACCCAGGCTGGCCTAACCCGCTGCACACCTCGGCTACATGGGACAGCCCGCTGCACACCTTGGCTACACAGGACAGCCCACTGCACACCTCAGCTACACGGGACAGCCCACTGCACACCTCGGCTACACGGGACAGCTCGTTCCTCATCTCGGCCACAAGGGACAGCCCACTGCCCCTCGGCTCCAAGCCTGTGCGGCATGTTACTGCACTAACAGCATGAGATTAGATCTCCATGGTCGTCCCCATGTTCTGTGTGAGTGATGAAAAAAGATAACTCCTTTCTGGTAACGCATACATTACCTGTTCCATAAAACCCCTCCAAAAAAAAATCCTGTTTGTATCTAAATTTAATTTCCATTACAAGAGTTTGGGAGGGAAGAAGATTTCCATCTCTATGGTTTCTGAGTAGGGCCCAGAAAAGTCCCAATTTCATCTCTCAGTACTCTGATCATGGTGACCTTGAATAATACATGTCACCCGGGAACCACAAACACCTTTAACTCTGCCTAACCTCAGACTGGGGTACCTATGGAACACAGAAAAAGCTCTAAATGGATATTTTGCAAGACGAACTGAGATTCTCCAGGGCCCTGTGCAGGTAACAGTTCCTGCCTCTGTTTCTAACCTCTCTTACAAGGAGAACACGAGCATGTGGACGTGAATATAAGCACACCGAGACCCCGACGCCGTCACTGCATCTAATCCGACGGAAGCGTCCTGGACAGCCCACCCGTCCCTGTGTGCGTGCAGCGCGTGGTACTCACTGGGGAAGTAAGCCATCTCTGATGAGAGCCAGAAGGTTGCCGTCCGCATCGACACCCGCCTCCTTCCTGCCGTCCTCAGCCTCCTGGCTCACCAGCAGGGAGGCGGTTTCTGAGAGCAACCGCAAGCTGAAGAGTCTCCATTCCACTTGAAAAGAAAATGCCGAGTGTGTGACTGCGAGGAGACAGAGTGGAGACAGAACCTGTGCCTGCTGGCACTCGGGCTGACGTGGTCACTTACCATTTTGACTTTGAACCAAGGAGACCAAGGGGGGCAGGATATAATCTACGACCTGAAAGAAAAGACGTTGAAGACTTGGTTCAAATCTCAATGAACACAAAACTGGTAACAAGCACTAGCTACGCTTCTTCCCCCACCAACAGAATCACTAATCAAAGGAGTGGCAGAGGGGGGATCAATAGCTAATTTATCCTGGATTTCAAGTCTGCCTGACCTTCAATAAACCATCAAGCTGACTTAACTCTGAAAAAGTCCTCAGGTCAAAGTGGCATTATGTTCATCAAAACAGTAATTAATCAAAACCTGCAGGGTTTGAAAGGAACTTTAGTAATATAATGCAAAATTCGATTGGCATGGGTTGGCATTAAACCATCAAATTAATGTATATAAGCTGGTGATCATCACTCAAGTTCAAGATAAACAATGATCAAAATGTTGGGGGAAAGGAGACATGTGCTCCTCAGGTTTTGTCAAATACACCAAAGAACTATGACAAGGTAATCTTAGGTACTTTTAGAAATAAATGCAAAAGATGTAAATTCACTTATAAACCATCTCTATGATTTCATAATAACATCAGGCAGAACATAATCAACTATGGTTTGAAACCTCCAAAAAAGCAAGTTTTTCCCCCAAATACAAATGGACAATGAAGAAAGGACAAATCCCTTTCCCAGTCTAATTTTGATATCTATTATCTCATTTGATGAACTACTTTGACAACCATAAACAAAATTTCTATTGTTTACAACTGAACTTATTCCTAATCCTAAGTGTGTACTTGCCCTCTCTACACTGATAAGAAGGCAGGAGAAGGTTCACAGCCCAACACCGCCGCCCTGCTGGCCAAGCCAATGAAACAACACCCTGCACAGGTAGAGCGCCCCACACCTCACCAACCACGTTAACAAGCCTCCTGTACAACAACACAGGATTACAACTGAGGAAGCTGCGAGGTATGGGCTTGAGGAAGGAATTCCTACAGAAACCCAAAGACAAGAGGGGAGACCAAACAAGGATGTGAGAGAGAATGCTAGACTCGGAAACTTACAGTTACTGCCAACAGTAAGCACAGCCTGGCTCAGGAGAACCAGCCACATAAACATAAATTTCACAATAAAGGCTCACTTATCTCAGTTCAATTCATTAGGTTCATTTCTGTGCTGGTCTAGGTGAAGCAATTCTATAACAATTTCTGATGTATTAGGATTAAGCATATGACAAAATGTGCTGATGTTGTTAGAGACCAGAATTTTCCCAGAGGAGGAAGGGACACACAACTATGGCTTGGGGACAGCGAGAGAGAACTCTGTGGGGGTGGGTTAGGTTTGAAGACACATGTGAATTCATGATTTCAAAATGTGTTACATGCATGCACATACATGATGTATAAGCAGGCATATGAGTGGGTTGTATGTGTGTGGTTACATGTGTAATCCATGCATAGATGTCCAAGTTTCCTGGAAGGGCCTAGAAGCTAAGACATCTCAGGAGACAGAAGCACACTTAGCGCCCTGCTCGTGGTCTCTAACGCCATTTCCCAGAGAAGGGACCCAGGGGTCCTCAGAAAAAGGACTCGTTCCAGGGCCAGGCCAGAATACCTCGCTGTGCCAGAAAGTAAAGAATAGTTCAAAAGAGGGTTGGTGCGTGTCACAAGGACACACGGGCCAACTTGAGAGGGTTTACACTGGCCAAATCTGGTATCGTTTTGAGCACAAAATGATAAAAACAGGACTCCGTGGTAGAATGGTGACAGGTGCCCACACACCAGTCCTTGGAACCTACTGATCTGGTGCCTGACACAGTAGAAGGGGTTTCGCAGGCATGATTAGGTTAACATTGCGAGATGAGGTGTCCGTCCTGGATTATACAGGTGGGCCCAGGGTAATGGCCCAATGTCCTTATAACAAGGAGACAGGAGGGTCAGAGTCAGAAACGGAGGCGTGACAACACAACAGGGGTCACGCTGGCAAATTTGAGGGGCTGTGAGCCAAGGAATGAAGGCAGCCCCCGGAAGCTGGAAAAGGCGAGGAAACAGCTTTTCCCCTCAGAGCCTCCGAACGATGAACAGGTATACTGACATCCTGATTCCAGCCCCAGAGACCCGTTCTGCACCTCTGACCTCCAGAACTGCAAGGCAATACTAACTCTGTGCTGTTTCCAGGCACTACCTTGGTGGTAATTTGTCACAGTAGCTATAGAAAACACACAGAATGAATACAAGTCTATTCAATGATCTACTGATAGGTAAACAGGTGTGATAATTCATAGCAGTTAACTTTGCAAAAAATAAGCTTACATTTACCAACTTCATTAGCCACTGCCAAACAGTTTTCCCAAGTCGCTGGGCCAGCTTACACGCCTGCCGGAAGGCTCTGAGAATTCCATTTGTTCTGCATCCTCACCGACTCTTAGGATGAGCTCAAAAATTTGGTTTACTTAAAGTTAATCTAATCAGTATTTATTAGGCTCCATCCTTTAGTTTAAATACTCACAAAAGAACAGGCTCTTCATAAAAATGACTTAGCTTATTTCTTTTAACTTAAAGAAACTGAAATGTATTTTAGGTGACTTATGTATATTATTACCAGAATTTTCTGATAAAGAATCACCTTTATTTTTCCATTTCCTATTATGACATATATCGAAACCACCACAAATGGAAGAGATTCTCTGTCCCAATCAAATTATAATCGTATTGCTAACTTCTCTGTAGGCCACACTGATCATTTCGAACTCAGAAGCACTAAATAGTCTAAACTCTGGGAAAAAAATCTCAGTTAAGCACTTATGCTCAGCAAGAATTAAATGCACGTAACCACTTCTATATAAGCAAGTTTCGATCAGCGACCTTGAACACAGGCTGTGCTAACATTTCAAACAGTGTTCTGCTCCTCAGGGTGCAGAATCCTCAGCTTTCTGTATTCCAGCCATGATCAAGAAGTGGTAATTAGAGGATTTCCCATGAGTTACTGCACTGAAAAAATACCTTCACAAAGCCCAGGAGTTGCCATGAAATCGCTCCTCTCATAATACACACTACAGTTTCAATGACTATCACCATAGCATTTCATGATCAGAACATAAACTATTAAATGTCTATTTAAAGGTAAGTACAGATATTTATAACTGCTGGGTCACAAAAAAATTATCATCGGGTTACTGCTCGTTAGAGAAGAGTCAGTAAGCAACACTGAAGCAAACACTATCTCAAGAAGACTGAGAAATCGTTACTCAGAAAGCGACCACAGTAAACAGGGGTCCCACGGATAGTGGGTACTGTTGAATTAACTCTCTAAATGGAGTCAATTTAAAAAATGCCAGATAAAATAGAAGAAAACAAAGTCTTAAAACTACTTAAGGTCCAAAAAGACAATGAGGAAATTTATAGACCATATTTCTGAATGAAAGCCTCAACTAGAGAGTAGAGCAGAACTCAACTCTCAGAATAAGTGTTGTGTCCAATTATCGTAGCACCATTCCTTGGCTGCACCCTGGAGGCACTTGCCAATGATATAGGAGGGGTCGCTAGGGCAAGAAACGGGGGTCTGAGTGCAGGTCTCCCTGGCACACGGAGTTCTGTGAGTCTCCGACACTGAGCTGGGCACAGAGAAGTGGGGATCACGCACGCAGAGTGAGGGGAGCCAGGTCTATACACTCACACTCCTGGGAAAAGCTAAAAAGGCTGCCCTGGGAAGCTATGATCTCAGACTACAGTCTCAGGGATTTGCAAAATGGGCGCCCATTGGTGCCCTTAGTCCAAGGCGGCCCTGACTGACAGAGCCCCAGGTGAACCCGAAGCCTCTTGTGGGAGGACACAGGCTTCAGGGATTGCCTGTGACCACAAGCAGCGAATACTAGTAAGGTCTCCAAGAACACCCGCCGATGAGGACAGGAGCAAGTTACAACAGACCACAGCACATGGCAGTCTTCCGAGATTGGAGTTACCGGACCCAGTGTGAAACAACAAAATCCTTCAAACGTGAATGAGTAAACCGCACACTGGGAAATACATACGGGGGCAGAAAATGACAAACAGCAATGTGGTAGACTGAAAAAAAAAAAGACAGGCAGAATCTCCACTGATAACAAAACTTCTACACATGAAAAAATAATTCAAGGGCTATATTTAGCACCAAGCTGGAGGACAGTGAAGACAGAAATAGAATCATCCAGAATAAAAACAAAATTATCCGGAATATAACCCTGAGTGAGATAAAAGACGGGACATAGAGAAAATACAGTGAGAAAGTCCAATGCACCTGCGATCGGAGATGCTGAAGGAGACCAAGAGAGAATAAGCAGAGAGAAAGCTGATTATTTTCCGGAAGCTATGGAAAAAGACAAGCCACAGACTCAAGAGGCACAGAGAATCCTACGCAGAATAAACAAAAGGTTACATTTAATTAAATCATAGCGCATCTACAGAAAACCAAAGATCCTCCCTGTTCGCCCCTCCAAAAAGTCCTTAAAGGGAGGGGAAAAAACAAAGATTATTTTCACAGGGAAAAAAAAAGAAACAGATCATCAGCTCAAGTCTCAATGGCTACAATTCAGAACATACGGTAATGCATTAAACTCTTCATAATACTAAACAATAACAATAATAACCGCTAGCCTAGAATTTAATACCCAGACAAAACCTCCCTCAAGAAACAAGGACTTTATCAAGGAGTTTGCCACCAGCAAACCCAAGCGAAGGAAAACAGGGAAAAAAACTGACTGGCTCTTTGATAAAGTTAATAAAACTAAAAATAACCTCTAGTCAGATTATAAGAAAAGATTAAAAAAGGAACGAAAAATGGCAAACATCTGAAAGGAGATATTAGATTAAAAAGACACTAAAAATAGATGGCAAGAGAGTATTATGAACTTCTTTATGCCAATGAGTAGTTAAAATGCGATTAAAAATATCAAAAAAAAAAACAAAAACCTGACTTGAATAAGCATGTCATAAAAGAGTACTCCCAAATGGTCACCAAACGTTTGAAAAACCACTCAGCCTCATTCATAGTCTGGATCATACAAAAATGTAAAACTGTGCTGAAATATTGCTATGTAGGCATCCATGAGAAAGAGAAAAACAACAGGAGTTGGGAAGGATGAGATCAGACGCTGAGCTGCCGGGGTCGACTTCAGCTGGTGCCACCTCTGCACAAGCTAAGTTTACATATGTCCTGTAACCACTAATTCTGTTCCTAACTATGCACCCTAAAAGTAACACATGCTTAAGTAGAGCAAAATACATACACAAGAACATGCATAGCGATATTTGTAAAGGCCCCAAACTAGAAACAGCCTCGTGTCCATCAAAAGTAAGTAAATTGTGATGTACACATATACTTGCACTCAGATCTCTACGGTATGCAGAATTCCCAAGTAAATGCAAAGGTGTATTTTTTAAAAGCTGCCAGAACTGACCGTAGAGCAATAGTCTTTCAATAAAATAGGATACTGTATTATTGCTTCAAAAGCCGACAAGGTGATCTTGATAAATTCTTCCGATGCCACCAGTCCTGAAAAGACAGTTAATCATTAAAGATGTTTATGTACATGTTTAAAATCACAATGTCAAAGTACCTCAATCATGGATGCAAAATGTCCCTTCATCCACTCACCTATGGCTCCTTCTATGTTAGTTTCTCCCGAGTCCACCGATTTAATATGACTCTAAAAAATAAAAATATCAGTAAATGGAGATCTCAGACTAACTCTGAAATAAGACGTAAGTATTGTTTTGCCCCAAAACCTCCTACCGTACTTAATAACTCATGAAAGGCATTAAATATTGTACTACATATATATTGTGAACACTGTAATCATAGTTTTAAAATATGATCCTATGAAATAGTATATATACATCATAAACTATCATCAATTTTAAGCATACAAATATTGGTAACAGTATCAATAAGATTTAATGTTGGAATCAATTCAATAGCAACGTAAGTCCAGGAAGGACAACCTGCAAGAATGGAGATAATCCAACTGACATGATACATAGCCATTTCCAGTAACAGCCACACTCACTCATGCTCCTGGAAGTTACTGAGAACAGCCCCTCATTAGGTGAAGCGGTCGTCTCAAAGGAAGGTCAAGCCTGAGCCACCAAGAGCACCAACCACATCATGACACAGCCCCTAGTTCAAGGCCAGTCTTCAAATTTACCAGTTCCCAGTCCCTCCCAGATGCCTCTGATCCCAGCCCAACTCCCTCAGCCCACACACCAAGCTCACACCTCCTTGAGGGAGGACCCCCAACACTGTTTGAAAGGCAGGCCTGGGCAGCTGGGCAGCTCCCTAGGTAACCTTCCCGTCCCCGGGGCAGGTGAGTGTCCCAGACAGAAGAGGTGCTCATGAGCACGACCCGAATGCAGCAATGACTGCCAGCCTGCACTGGGCTGAGCGCTGGGGCAGCCACAGGCAGAGGCGCTGCACCGGAGTTCTTACTCCAGCTCCAAAACAATTCGCATGTCATCTGTGGTAATGGGGTAGCAAATAAAATATAAGATGACCTTGGAGTAAAAAAATAAGTAAGCGATTAACTTAGAATGGAAAATGAGTCAACCACAGTCCAGCGGTTTTTCTTAAAACATTTGGTGAATATAAAAGAATATATATAATATATATAACATATACAAAAGAACACATGTATAGATTTTTTGTTTGTTTTAAAAAACAAAGAAAATCCTGAAACCCGCCAATCAAGCTAAGAACTGAGACGCCCCCAATTCTTTGCACGAGCGTCCCCCACCCCACCTGCCTGTCACGCCTCCAGAGAGAACTACAGTCACAAACATATCGTTTTCCTGACAGTTTAAAATAGTTTTATCACACCCACATTTGTCTCTAAATAGTATGTTGATTGTTTGGTTATTCTTGAACTTTACTGATTATCAAACTTCATATGGTCCACGCAAACGGGACAATATGTAACCATTAAAATATGAACAAAGACTAAGGCAAAGGAAAATACAATACAACATTAAATGGGAAAAAGACAGTACAAATCTGCAAACATGCAGCACAGTCTCAACCACAGGTATCGGTGTATGTCCCATGTAGACGTGTGATATGTATGTGAAGCTTTCCTACACACAAGTGCATATATGAATAAAAACACGAGGCAAAGAAGCATGTTGGCTGTAGGAGCCTGTGAGTGTGGAGTAATGGATGATTTCATTTTCCTCAAATCTCGCTGTAAGTTTCTACATTTTCTTTAAAAACCATACATTTTATGATCTAAATAAGTAAGCACAAATTGCCTGTAAAGTAAGAGAACATCTTAAACTAAGACATATGTTCTTACTTCAAACTGAAAATATGGAACATTCTGAATTCCTTTTTTTCAGTCTATAACTCAACTAAAGAAAGAAGTAATGCAGTAAATTTACAAAGCAATGTAAACGCTCCATGATAATTTGGGTGAAATAATTTCATAAAATTTTAAGATGAGCACCTAATTTTTGCTTACTATGAAATTGATGCTGAATTAAAAATTCATAGGGACGTATCTTTTGACTTAAACCTACATAAATGTCCAAGGATGACTAAGAAAGATCAGACTGAACATGTTTACATCACGATCTTTCCTGTTTAATTTTTCAAAGAATAGACAGGTAATATACAAAAACGGAGGTGAACAAAAGCTTTGAGGAGGAAAGTCACAGGAACCCGCCAGCAGAGGTTCCTTTTGGGGAAAGGAAATGCGGAGATCAGGTGGTGTTTTCCCTTCTCGTTTCCCGCCCTTCTGAACTGTTGGAATTTTCTAACATACATTAATTTGCTTCCTTTTTAATGTCAATCAGGGTTATCTAGAGGGTGAAACTATAGGCTTCTCTTAACTTATTTTCTTCCTTATACTTCCCCTGTTTGATTTTATAAAACCCCTCCTTAATGTTTCATTGATTTGCCAATGATATATTGGTATGGAAAACCCCAGTGCACCCAAGCTTCCTAGCTGGGAGTTCTAGCAGAGGAGCTACAAGGACGGACGCACACCCCACAGACGGGCTTGCCGTGGGAGGGAGTTCGGGGAAGAACACGGCCGCCCCAAAGTGAAAACGGAAGGCTGTGCCTCGCAGGCAGGCCTGTGCCACTTGGTGTCCTTGAGAACTACTGTGACGAAGCTGAAAATACATTCCTAGAACAAACTGGGTATATAAACTCAAGGCTTACAGAACAAGGAGAAAAATTCAACGAGAACACTTACATGGCAATGAATAATTATATAGCATATTTTTTAAAATATAAAGAGTACACTCTCTCTTCTTTATTTACTACAAGTGAAGTCAAAAATCAATCACAGGACAACATTCACTTAAAATGAAAATCTGCAGAGGGCAGGAAGTATGTCTTTTCTTTTCATAACTACCTCAGTGCCCAGAGGAAGTAAAGATTCATGAACGATGGAGATTATCATTATATTCTTACACGAAAATCCATTAGAATTTTATCATTTCTTTTGTTCCTCTTTTAGTTGAAAATTTGAATGGTGACGCCTTTTTGGAGGACAACTATAACCACTACACAACCATCACGCTTTTATAAACTAATGAGGCCAGAACTTAAGAACAAACACACAAAAGTTCTCTTCCCAGCTCATTAATCAAGAGCATTTTCAAAAGGACACAAGAAACACAGCGAGCCTTAGGTGATACACATCATGAGCTCCTGAACACACTTCCTCCCTGTCACTGCTTCCTATTCCCCAGCCCAATGCAACGGAGGCCCCAAATGCGGCAGCATCCGCTGCAGAAGTGCCCACCGCACTGCAGATGCTCAACTGCTAAAAGTACCCGCAGGTCCTTTATTTTACTGGAGAGGGAAACAGGTATGAGGACACCCGGCCTCTGCTAATGAGAAGCGACAACAACAATTATCAGCTGCGTACTCCTCGCCTGCCTGGGGCCGTTAGAAGCTCCATAATGGTTTATGGGTACCCTGCCACCTTGTTTCCAAATACCAGCCTCTTTAAAATATAAGAAGACCACAATTTCCTTTTTCTTGGTGGGGAGTGGGGGAAGGGAGTTAAGTCTATACTCATGCCTCCATATATAAGAAGTATCCTGATTTTTTCTACCTAAAAAACAAAAGATGTCTACAGGTCAAAGAGGCAAACCATGCTCTGGTGCTGGTCTAGAAACGAAGTCGACGGGAAGCATGACTTCAATGCCCCTCCCTCGAGCCTCCTCCATCAGGACCCTTCTAACGAGTGGCGATCATGCCAACCTTGCCAGCTGTCTCCCCGCCCACCTGGGGCAGGCCAACAGCCCCTGCAGAGCTGCTTGACCAGAAGCTCAGGAAGTTCTCAGCAACAAGTTACTGCCACTGGATAGAACTGCTACAGGTGGACCAAGCTTGAATCCTTCAAACAAAGACATGTTTTTAAAATACAAAAAGACAACAGACCGTTGGAATTTTCTAACATATATTAATTTGTTTCCTTTTTAACGTCAAATGCGTGTTCACCCCGCACTCCCTCACCCAGCGAGCCCATCTGTGGGATGGGCGTCCATCCTCGTAGCTCCTCTGCTACAGTAGTGCTACCCGCCGTGGTGCAGTAGCAACTCAAAAGATAAATCTTGAAAAACACAGAAACACTCTTTACCTCCAGATAGACCAACAACCCTTTCTAAATGCCAGCATCTGTGTGTGAATGGAACGAGCCACCAGGACAGAGGTGCACTGTGCTTCGGACAGTGTCTCAAGGTCATTCCATGGCCGGCTCCACGGAACATTTACAGCTGTGCTGCCCAACACAGACCAAAAACAAAACCTCTCCAAAAAGTTTAGGAAACTTTTGTTTAAGCAAAATTAAAAAGAATTCTCTGAAAGCGAAAACTCAACAGGCCGTCACTGGCCAATCTGCACTGCGGATTTCTAAGAGGCTGCAGGAGGTGGGAGAGCTGAGTGCACCTCACAGCATCAGCAGGGCACCACCAACTCAAATGGCATCTTCGGTGCCGTCTGGGTAGATTGCAAATCAACTCAGGGAAGCAGCGCCCAACCCTCCACAGTTCATAATAACAGGCACAAGGGCTGTGTGGGTGACGGGACCCAGGTCCTTGATTTTAGTCAATACTTCTCCCCCTTTTGCTAGTATGTCATCAGTCACTAACACTGAGTATGTGAGAGAAGCAAACACACAGCTGGGGCCAAAGGACAGATGCGATCAGAAAAATAACAAAACATTCTGGGACTGGCCATGATTCCAACTAGGAAAATGACCTGAAGCATGCTAAAAGACCTTTTCCACTGTATTTGCCTAAACTCCCTTTACTTGAGGGAGTGGCATTATAAGGAAAAAAACTGATGAAAGTCAGTTTTCATAATTTCCCACATCATAATTATCTTTGGACTGGGTCAGGTAGTCTCCCTTCCCTAAACGGGCCTACGTGAGGGAAGTCCCTGCACAACGCCCCTCGGCCACGTGGAGCACACCCAGGCCTGGGGCCCCGTAAGGAGGCCCTTCCTCCGAGTGGCCTCCCCCTTGTCTCTGAATCACAGGGAGCAGAGGCGTTCTCCTTAAAACACAGATACGGGATTCCTGAACGTCCATGAAGCCCTTTATGTTGGAGACACTTGGCAGTTCCTTGAAAACCCAAAATGCACTCAGTTAACATAGGCAGAGAAAAGTACTCCACATAGAAAAATGTAAAAGAATGAACACAGGACAATTCTACCTGCCCCAAGCAAACCCTGTGCCAGAATATTCCAATGTGAGCTCCGAGAGCAACTTGACTATTTTCAGGCACTGATATACCATGCAATGGAATTGCAAATGCAGAACTTGGTCATGCTAAAATGACACCCATCGTGCACTTAAGAGATTGAAAAGCAAATTAAAGTAGGTAGTAAACAAAATTCTAATAATTTGCAAACTCATGAGTGTATAACAAAAATTAGGTACTTTGTAGAATCTGGATTCTGGGCACTGGGATGATACAGATTTGAAACTGAAAAGGAAAGGACCTCCACCGGGTGGCCTGGGCACACTCTACTCACATCGGCACCCTGCGCTCACCTCTGTATTTCAAGACAGCCCTCCTTGCCCCACGATGAGCCTTCTAAAGAACAACGTCCTAATTCTGGGTGACAATCACGTTTTTATATTCCAAAGTAACAATAACACTGAGATGTTTCCTTCATTCTAACTAGATGCCTCCGCGGCATTTTGAAAATCTCAGTTCAGTGTTTATTATAAACATCAAAGTATGACTGGAGAGGCTGCGTGACAAATGTCTTTCCTTTCCCTTTGAATAGCTCCCCGTGTTATCAGTAATATACGCTATAACTGTGCCAGGCAAGGGGGAAAGGTGGCATAATTCATGAGCCTCCGTGTGAAAAGAAAGACAATGTTTTGTGAGCAAAAGCTGTAATGAAAGATAGCATGATGATTTGTTTTTCACCATTACCCATCTCGCCAAAATTAAATTTTCAGAAAAGTTAAATTGAGCTTTACTTAGAGAAATGCCATCCTATTAAAAGATCATACATAACTGGAGAACGTAAGCCAAAGTAAATAATGATGATAATATATTTGCAGCACAACATTTTCACCAGTTTTATTATTTTAAATTTTTTCATGATGTTTAACACCAAAATCAATAAAAGTGTGTTCTATGGACTTATCTACCCCATTTGGGGCTGTCTGAGAACAAAATACATTACCAGGAGGAAATGTATTTTTCTCCAAATGTCACATTTTATTATCATCAACAGATAAAAGTATAAAAAGGTCACATCCCTAGAGACAAATAAATACCAACAAGAATTTTTAAACTACCTCGTTCTGACACCAAATTCCACAAACAGTAGAGACAGCCACATTTTTATCAGGGACATGAAAAATTCACTGTTACTCACAAGAATAGTCCCGTAACTGAAAAGGAACTCTTCCGTGACGACTTGAGGTCGAAACACCTGTGTGATGAGAGTTTCCATCGATTACATCCTGAAAGCCACGTACAAGGGAAAAAAGCTGAACTGTTTTGTCTGAGTTGGTGCATTTCCGTTTACAGAGAAGGGAGCCACCTTCCTACTTATTCTTCTCTGAATAAGATCGCACCTGAGAGGTGACGAGGTGAAGCACTATGGGCATCAGGGGGAGACACATCTTCAGCTGCTTCGCTTGGACCGTCGATGGGTGTTTACGACCAGACACGTTAGCCAAGGCGTTGACAATGTCACCTGTGGAACACAGGCCGGAACGCGCATGAAGGTTAAAGACTACAGACACTTAGGGACCGCCGGTCAAGGCTGGAGACCTAGCGGGGTTGCTGAGGGAATGACTCTCCAAACCAACGAAGTAGACAGAAGCTGTGTTATTGACTCACAAATATTGAAACTGTAACGCAAGGCTGTGGCTTCTGGGGCAGAACGGATAGAAACACAATCTCTCCTCCAAAAATTTAACATCGAATGTATAAATATTATGGTAGAGTGGTGTTTTTAGAAATAACTTTTCTTCCTTGTTTTGGTATTTTCCAAAATTTAAGCATAAGCACCTATTACTTTGATAAACAGAAAAATATTTAAAAAATAAGTGCACTGATTATAGATCACAATTTTAAAAAATAGAATAGATGGGCCCTGGCTGGTGCAGCTCCGTGGATTGAGTGTGGGCCTGTGAACCAGAGAATTGAGGTTCAATTCCCAGTCAGGGCACATGCCTGGGTTGCAGGCCAGTTCCCAGCAGGGGACCCATGAGAGGCAACCATACATTGATATTCTCTCCCTCTCTCCTTCCCTTCTCCTCTAAAGATAAATAAATAAAATATTTAAAACAAATAAAAATAAAAATAGAATAGATGGGAATAAAAATTGATTGATTCATAAAACTTGCTGGATAATGAGTCCAACAATAAATAAAACTTGTGTTGTGGATATCTGAACCTTATCATCATGTCCCTAAGGAAGAATGAGTCTACTAATAAGAAACTCAACTACCAATTCACCAGACAGATCACGGCCTTCAGACTGGAGGTTAAAGGAAGGCTATCTAAAATAAAGGGAGGATCGAAGGGGAAGGGACTAGTCAAAGAACATGTATGAATGACCCACGGACACGGACAACAGAGGGAGTGGTGGGTAGGATGGGTAGAGGGGGACCGAGGGGCAAAAAACTGGGACAACTGTAACAGAGGAACAATAAAAAGAAAGTGATTAATAAAAAATAAATAAATCTTGAAATGCTCTATTTTCAGTCATTAACAGGCATGAAAATCTCCCCAAGTATCAATAAGAAGTTAAAAGGCATGTCAGCCAGCCATGGAGATATTTTCATTACTCCGATATACTATTATGAATTTCAGAGTCTAAGTATATTTTACTATAGTGGATTGGATCAATTTGAACATCTGAAACATTTCTGGCTTAATGCTACATCTGCTGAAAAAGAATGGCATGAGATTTAAACTGAATGTGCGCAGGCCTTAGATGACTTTAATTTCTGCTGTGCTAAAGCCTTCACAAATCACTACTACATATTTTTATTTTAAATTTTTCAAACCAAAGAAATGATCAAATGTTAATCAAAAGTCCTTCATGTTAAATGTTAATGCTTATGCATTTTTTAATTCTTTTTACAATAAATAAATGTGTGGCTCTCATCTGAAGAGAAAATATTTTTATCCAGAATTAAGCAGAGAGAAATCTTGAGGCAAGTACCCAAGATAAACAGCAGAAGGCCAATGTTAAGCAGTGAAAATGCTTTGCTTTGATCACTTTTCCAAAATCACCCGTTTGCCGCCGATGACACCTGAACACCACCTCTAGCCGGCTGGCTGCCTCCGTCCTGTCACTGACACACAGTCATTAGGAAAACAGATGAGGCACAGGTGAGGCCTGAAACTGCACATTCAGGAAAAAGTGTCACTGCACTCGCCTGCGGTAACAGGCCAGCGAGACTAAAGGAGAGGCCAAGCCTGCAAGCCACGTCATGGGAAGGTAAGCAACAGGGGCCTGCGGCAGCGGCTCCCATTTACCCAGGACCCGCGGCAGCTCCTGCACGACGTGACGGATGAGAAGGCCCAGGCACTTGGACAGGTACTCGTTGCCGCTTTGCTGCTCCTTGCCTGGAGAGGTCTTCCTACTGTCTCTCTCGATGTACATCACCAGCCTACACAAAGAAGAGTGCAACAGATTACCCCGCGTGACGAAAGAGTTGATAGTGGAGTCTGAAAATGCCAACAAGGCAGATGCCTCCAGGGGGCACAGACCCAATCAGGTTGACGTTTAGATTTGTGGCAACTTGTCGGGCGCAGCCCATGTTTGCCTCAGAAAAATCTAAACATTTAGGCAGAAGGAAAAGAAGACAACTGATACGTCTGCTGGTGTATTAAAATAGTGCCCTTGGCCCATGGAAAGAAACCATGTCCCTGCACATGGTGAAATGCAAGTGAACACATCTGGACAGATGAGGGTTCTTGGTGTTTCAAAGATGCACAGTAGAACCACAAGCTGTCTGCACTTTGGCGCCATTAGCAATGAACTTGCTCAGAACCTCAGGCCAGTCAGATGAATTCCGGTTCCTCTAGTAAATCACACACATACACCCAAAGAAGGAGTTTCATTCCCACACTGGATTTCACATGTCCTTTCATTCAGTAGTTTTATGATTGATATCTGCCGTTTAATAAACTGATTTCTTCTTTAAACCACTGGCATCCATTAAATCATCAATTTCTGAACCAACTGTTTCCACCCCAGAACCAGGGATCATACTGGACCATCACTCTAGATCCTTAGGGTGTTGTTGACAAGCTTTAGGCCCATTTTCATCCCTTTTGCTGGACCACCAGTCATCTTCCCAAGTCCCCATTCCCCTCAACTGTCCCAAGGGGGATGAGCCCACTGACTTCATCACGCAAAGGCCCCGGCACAGCAGCCTCCCTGGTGTCGCCCATCTCCCAGCTCTGTTGTGATCACGCCTCCCAGCCAACACCCACTTCTCAGAGGGAACTTGCGACCAGCTCCCACCGTAAACTGGGAAGAGGTGGTTTTGCCCATAACTAATACACGCCGAGTATACCGAAAGCTTAACCCTTAGAATGCCTGTGACTCTCGTGCAGATTTATTCACGGTTTTGCCTTTCTGCTTACTGTTATTCGGAGCCCTATCTGTGAACACCTGGGGAAAGAACCAGATCAAATGTTTAAGTTCCATACAAGCAGTTGGCACCCTCTATTCTAGTCGCTGATCACAGCCTAACCACACTCTAACAGATATGTAACAACGGTCAAGTGCAGAGAGACAAATGACCAAGTCAGCAGAAATGTATTGTCAGTACTGCTTAAAGGGTTCAGAGCACAAATCTTCTCCATAACGAGCAGACCAAAGAAATGGGCCACCACCACTGCATGGTGAGTCAAATCCAAAATCTGTGAAGTATAAGAAAGCGAATTCACACTTGTCTATACGGAGTCCATTTTCCTCTAAAATTTAAATTATCCGTGACAAAATTTAATAATGTGCTGCTTAATTACCGTAGTTTGAAATATCTCGCAGGCAGAAATTACTCAGACTTTTCAAACACTAGCACAGGCCGTTAACACATGAGAAACTACCCACTGGCTCAGCTGGGAGAAATAATGGACCGATGGGATCCATCACAACAGAAAACCAACTCGAGGGTGACGCTCCCCCTCGGGCCTGCCCCTCACAGAATGTGCTTACACAAGCGACAGAATAAATTCACGCTACTGACAAGGCACATTAGCTATGAGAAGACTTCATATTCCATGAAGGAAATGAAACGTGGGAACGTTTGAGCGTAGTGCCCATAAACACTTCACAATTGCTCTATGACAAAACCGCACGTGTTGTCCTTGGGGTTCTACAAGGGTATCCAGTTAAAAAGATCAACAGTCTCAACAGTAATGCAAGCAGACCACAAATAAATAAGGCCTCGCCCTGGCTGGTGTGGCTCAGTGGGTTGAGCATCGTCCCGCAAACCAAGAGGTCACGGGTTCTATTCCTGGTCACGGCACATGCCTGGGTTGTGGCCCAAGAGACAACCAATCTGTTCCTCTCACACATTGATGTTTTCTCTCCCTCTCTGTTTCCCTCCCTTCCCCTCTGAAAATAAATAAAACCTTTTAAATACACATATACATACATACCTACATACACACACACATACCTACATACACACACACCTCTCCTTCTTCCCACACCATTACATTTAAGAGGACCACTTCTCCCCAGGACTTCTCTGTTTCCCAGTCCATGGCCCCACCCCTACTTTCCTCCATTTATCTCTGGGATCCATTCCCTGTAACTGGACCACAGTTTTCTTAGTCCCGTCTCCATAGGAATCCTTATGCTCATTCCCCACACCGCCACCTTCATGCGTCCCTCACCTGCCTCCTAGAACGTCCTCCTGCTGTACCTTCATGCTTCCGTGGCCAGACTCTGCCGTGTCCCATACTTGTTTATCTCTCTAGTACCCACACCAGTGCGGCGCCGATAGTAAAGTGAGCTCAGTGACAACAAGGACGGCGACATCTCATTTATTCATTCAATAAATATTTGCTGTGTCTACTATGCACTGAGCATTTCTCTAGTGGATGTGTATCCAGCTCACAGAATGCAAATTCAAGTGGGAAGAAATAGCCAATGACATAAATAACTAGAAAACAGTGGGGATGAGGATAAGTCTTATAGCAGAAAATGAAGAAGAGTAAGACAGCCACTAGTCAGAGCGGGGCGTGTTCCTGCCCGGCAGGAGCACAGAGAAGGGCAGGGTCGGAGAGCGAAGCAGTCTCCAGGCCTTGCTAGACCTTGCGGGCCACGGTCAGAGCCCCGACTTTCAGTCTGACTTATGGTTAAAATGAGCTCTCTGGAGACTGCAAGGAGTACGGACTACAAGAAACATAAGAAGACCGGTTAAGAAGCCAGTATAACAGCTCAGGTAAGACCTTATGGTGGTAGTGTGGAAATGGTATGAATTGATGAGACACTGGATATCTTCTAAAGGTGTAAATAACTAGATTTGCTATTGATTGGACATGAAAGAGAGAAACTCCATACAACAGACCAACAGGAAGAGCAGAGCAGCCACCGGCCGAGATGGGCGAAGACCGCTGGGAGCAGCAAGCCCGGGCACACAAACCACCACCAGATGTGGAAATGCGCACGTCACGTTGGCAGCTGACATGAAAGTCTGAGTCCCCAGGAAAGGCCTGGGCTGGCAGCATTAACCTGAAAGTGATCCTTGGGCAGGCGGTATCTAAGGTCGTTAGACTACAGGAGATCACCTGGGGATGCAGATCTCGGGACTGAGCTGGGATCCATCACTATACAGGCTGAACACGGCAAAGGACCGGCAGAGGAAACGGAGAAAGAGTGACTGGTGAACAGTGAAGACGACCAAAAAGAGTGGTCACGCCACCAAACAGAGAGCACTTCAGAGAGAAGACCGCAGACTTCCAGTTACCAGTCAAGGTGAGTTAGGTTATCCAGGCAAACCTTCCCACCAACAACAAAACAACAATGAAAAGTATTGAATAAAATAACATAACCCACTTCATATATAATCATATCAAATTATGTAGATTACAAACAAACACACACACACAAAATGCCTAACTCTCTACTGTTAAAAAAAGAACTTGTGGTTCGGACGAAAGCATCATACGCCGTCTCTGGGACAATTTAAATGCAAAACAAGATGACAAACTGTACCCTGAAGTACTGTGTCACAGACGAAGAGCAAACTCCGGAAACTGATGTCGAACGTGCTGCAGTGACCCTTCAATAAAGCAGTTCACGAAGGGCACACAGACTGCTGAAAGAAACATCTTTTGAAGAGTTAATAATGAAAAAATTCAAAAGCAATACTTTATTTTATATGTATAATTGTAAATGCATATGTATAACTACAGTAATAAATAGTCACAGGTGGATGTTTGTATATTTCATCAAATCCCTAACACACACACAGGACCACCACCACCCATGGTCCCAGAAGCAACATCTTTTTGGAATTCCCATTGAACAAGGCTTTCATATTATAGTCAGGATTGCTTCAAATTCAAACAACTCCAAGATATGTTCATCCGATTCTAGCTTTTGTACAGAAAATGAATTGTAGGAGGGCGCAGTGGATGCCAGACTAGAAGCAGGGAGACCAGTTAGGAGGCTGTCATGACAGAGATGCTGCCAGCTTAGAGCAGAGGGCAGGGGGGTGTCTGCAGGGAAAGAAGTGGGTAATGGGGGCGAGGGAAGGAAGGTCTCATGAAGGAGGAGTCAGTATGATTTGCTGATGAGTTGGATTGAATGATAAAAACAAGGGGTACTCAGAGGGGTGGGTCTGAGTAATGATAAAGAATGGTAGTGAGCATTTCTGAGTGTTATTGATGGGGAGTTTGGGAGTGGAGATGCAGTTAGGAAACATTTGTTTTATGTTAACTTGAGGATTCTTCTCGGTCGTGCCATTGACTACATTAAGTAAGCCTGGAGATATGGATGCATATCAGCACAGATGTGGTGTCTGATGCCACTGGATTAAAAGAAATCACCTTAACAATAGAAAAAAAAAGGTGGCCCAGGATGACATGAAAGAGGATGACAACAAAGGGACTGAGGTGGGAAGATAAAGAGGAAGACAGGTTAAGTTCCAACTCTGAACCCTACGACCACAACGGTAAATTCTAATTCTAGCTGGCAAGTTGAGACCAAGCATTTTATTGTACTTCACATTTTTACATATTCCCACAGAAAATCCACATCAGCCCTAAAAACAAAAAACTGTGCCATTCACAGCCAGAACCTTCAAAGAAATTCCTGAAAGTGCTGGCGAGGACGTAAGTGGATTGAGGGGAGGTCCAAACACACGGGTAGCAAACACCCACCTGGGAGGTAGGTAACCCAGCAGCACCCTAACTAACCTCTGAGTGGCAGGGGAACAGGACAAAAGTAGACTGAGGAGCTGGTAAGAAGTGAGTTTCTCACCCCTGTGGACAATTTTCTGAATGAGCTACGTACCAGAACACCTGGCACAAAAGTCGTGCAGACTCAAGGACAGCAATCAAAGGGAGGCTGCAGCAAAGCAGAGATTTTAAAGCAAAGGAATGACTTTGATTTGAGCTGCAATTGAGAAACATTAATCTAATAGAG